TACCTGACTCATAGATGGGCGGAGGCAGTAGAGTCCAAAGAGGAGGCATTGGCCGTTAGTTTGGACATAGCGAATGCCTTCGATCGGGTCTGGCACAAAGCGCTTCTTTCGAAGCTCCCTTCCTATTGGTTTCCCGAGAAATTGTGCAAATGGATCACCAGTTTCCTTGCAGATCGGAGCATCAAGGTTGTTGTAGATGGTGCGAGGTCCGATTGCAAGCCTGGTGTTCCACAAGGCTGTGTGCTATCACCAACGCTGTTTCTTCTGCATATGTTGCAAACCGGTAACATTCATTGATATGCGGATGACAGCACTGGGAAAACGTCGCTGAGTACCGGAACATACTTGTGTCTGAAGTCGAGTGTTTATTGAACAAAATTTCGGATTGGTGCGACTAACTCTAGTCCAGTTTAATCCTCAGAAGACACAAGTTTGCGCGTTTACCGCTAAAAAGCACCCCTTTGTCGTATCTTCTCAGTTTCAAGGCACTCCCCTTGCTGCCTCAGCTAGCATCGGAATCCTCGGCGTCGACATATCGAGTGACGTGCAGTTTCATGGTCACTTGGAAGAGAAGGCCAAATTGGTCTCTAAAAAGCTTGGCGTGCTCAGCAGAGCGGGACAGTATTTCATAAATGCAACTTTACAAAACGCAGGTTTGGTCTCACATGGAATACATTTTTCATCTCTGAACTGAGGCTCCCCTGCGCCAGCTCATTCCACTTGACCGCATCCAGCACAGAGCGGCTCGAATCGTCGACAACCGAGTCCTTTCTGATCGGCTCGATTCACTGGCGCTACGAAGAGATGTTGCATCCTTTTGCATTTTCTTTCGCATCTATTACGGGGAGTGCACTGAGGAATTGTTCGGATTAATCCCAGCCGCTAAATTTCACGAACGCTCATCGCGGAAAAACTCCCGATACCATCCACACTATTAATGAATGCTTGGCGGTCCACCACAGTGCATTTTACTAGGAGTTTTCTTCCTCGTACAACTTCTCTTTGGAATTGTTTACCACCGGCGATTTTTCCGGACCGATATGACTTAGGAACCTTCAAGAAAAGAGCTTACACCTTTCTAAAAGGTCGGTAACGCGTCTGCAATCACCCTGGAGTTGCGGTCGTTCAGGGGCGGCGGTAGTCACTTACCATCAGGTGAGCCGCATGCTCGTTTGCCCTCTCTGCTATAAAAAAAAGTAAACATTTCTCTAAAAATAATAAAATATTAATATATTAAAAATAATATCTAATAATAAAAATAAAAATGAATACGTTTATACGTACGGTTATTGGTTATATGAGGTTATTCTCAATACCGTGTAAAAGGTTACACGCACTTATTTTTTTTTTACTTTTACCATTGGTTTCTCACCCTCTCACTCACTCTCACTTTCAACCTCTGTGCTGGGAAGAACCAGCAATAAACCTGTAGTAATTTTAGTGTTATAATCTAGCATCACATTTTTAACGCGTCATTGAGGCGAGTTAGACAGGCTATACAGGTGCGGCCGTGAACTTCGTTTTATGTTCGCTAACGTCATTACTGCTTTTTACGATGTTATTAGCCGAGTCGTCCCAAATAACATTAACACTGACGTTTTATGTTTATCACCATTATTATATTGTTACGGATCGATTACGAAATTAACGTATCTCCACACACCACACCGGGAGGTGTTTACAAGAAATTATTTATGCTTCAGACGAACCTAGGGAATATCGTAATCTAGTTAGTACCTAATAATACTAAACCTTTAACAGTGGTAGAGCCACGCGGCAGCTTTTGCTGTCGCACGGATAGGCCGGCTCGAACTGGGGTGGTACCACTACCTCACAGAAAACCAGCGTGAAGTAGAGGTTTACCTCTGCGTTTCGCTTGGTGAGTCCAGGTGGTCGGAGGCCCTTTTTACTAGAAATGAGGCATTCCATCTTAGTCCTCACGGGTGACAACGCATCTACATTTTGATTTGTAATAGAGGATAGATGTAGATGTCTATGGACCGCAGCAACCACTTACCATCAGGTGGACTGTGTGCTCGTTCGTCACCCTTATCCTATAAAAAAAACCTAGTAGTAATTTGAAATAATAGTTACGAGTAACCAAAGTAGAACATAAGCAAATAACTATCAGTATACCGAATTAATATAAATTATACGACCAGACGCCACACTATAGGAAAGCCCCATACAAAGTCGTCTCATAACTGTTTTTAACGAAAATCGTTGTTACGTGATGAAAATTATAAATTAATATACTATTATAAATAAAGTTTCTTTTTAGGTATTTTTATCTTTTTTTTTTTATATGTTTAACATAAGTATGAAAGAGCATCAAATCTTAGTCATGTTCGATTAGATGATTTTGACAAAATACATTACGATTCAATGCCACATTACTTGAAAGTTTTCCATTTAAACATTTATTATACATTTTTGGAATGCTTATATTTATGTTTCTCCAAATTTATCGTAAATAATATAATATTATATTAGTTAATTAAACAAACAAAAAACCATTATATTTTGAGATGGTATATTTCTTTTCTTTTTTAACAAGAGATTTAACTCTTACCGATGCTTGCCGATGTCGAGGTACTTATTGCATTAAGATCTTCACACATTACTCTATTTAGGGATAAAAAATTGCACTTACTTGCTTCTATTTTGATCCGGAGGGATCCAAAATGCATCGCGAGATAAAAATAATTTTTTTCAAAACTTATTTTTTTATAAAATAGCATAGATGACGGTGTATTTATAAATTTATTGAAATATGTTAAACAGTTCTCAAGACCTAATTTAGGTAAAAAAAATATGTCTTGAATTTGATATCTATTGTGGTGAAAATTTGAAATTGTATTTTATCTATTAGGGTTAATAAAAAATAAATAAAAAAATCTAAAAGACCCTATATATCCAAGTAGACGTACCTATGTAAAATTACAGCTTAATTCATTTTGAAACAACTGAAATATGAAATTATGAGACAAAAAACACTCGATTTTCTCATAGTGCGCCGGTTGTGTTAGATAGAAGGCTTTACTTACATTTAATTAATCAATATTTATTTCATGAAACCATGGACTTTTATGCCATTCTTGACACATTAAATTCAGATAATATGTTGTCCATCAATAGTTTCACAATTAATCACACAGCCACCTTAATGTGGGCAAACCTCACATTCCAACCAAACGTCTAATATGTAGTTTGGATCGAATGTGCCTAGAACGACGACGCCATGTTCGTTGTGCAAACAGCGCTCTCATTTCCCGTTAAACCCACATGACAATGTATCCATTGCAAACGCAGCTGTTTATATCCCCGGGTAAACTTTAAAACCCTATCAAATATAGCAAAGTTTATCTAAACACATTTACAGCTGCAGGCGCATCGTGTCCTGAAATGTATTTTTTTATAATATAAGTATGACAAACGAGCACACTGTTCACCTGATTGTAAGTGGTCGCTATGGCCCATAGACATCTTTATCTATCATGGATCAAATTGCTGATAAGTTGTCACCCGTGAGGACTAAGATGGAATGGGTCGTTTCCAGTAAAAAGGGTCTCCAATTATATAGACTCACCTTACGAAACACAGCAGCGTTGAGCTGTTATTATACGCTGGTATTTCCCCGGTCGAGCTGACCCATTTGTGCGACAACTACTAATATAGCGGCAGCATGGCTCTACCACGTATAAAATGATGATAATCTTTCTAAACTTTCCTTAAAGTATTAATTAATTGATGGCACGGTAGCGCTGTGGCTAAGAGTTTGTATGCAGCAGCGGTTTTGATTCCCACAAAGAATTAGTATTCCTATTGCATCCAAATAATAATTGGTCCAGGTCTGAGTGTATGTCCATGTGCAACTTATATAATGTGTATAGGTATAACTCCTCCATGATATTGTAGAAATTTCTAGTAATGTAAAAGTTTTTTTCACCTGATGACCCATCGTACAAGATTTAGGTGTAATTTAACCCACCCTGGGTTAAATTACACCTAAATCTTCGACTTTCCTATAGAATGAAGTAGATGGGACTATAATACAAATAATTTTTAATAAAGTTCTGGCTTTACATCATGTCTAATAATAAGAATTGTAACATTTATGTACTATAAATTTAAACTTTTATCTTATAGCTTATGTCGTACGTGTGGCACACGAGTAAACGCAACAGAGGCAAAGCTTTTTGAGAACGTGTAAAAGTGTTACCTATTTTGGTAGGGTTGTCACAATAGGTGAAGACAAATTAAACAAAACAATATCTATCATATTATTGCATTGTCACTGAAGTTACGGTATACAAAATTTCAACTCAATCAGACATCGGGAAGTGGTTCAAATCTTACTTGCAATATGTGAACTTAACCCACATACCTACTACATACCTTCAAATGTTTAATAAAAGCTTATAATAACAACAACAAGGTAAAAACTCACCTTGCAGTATCCCTCGTTCTTATTAAAAAGAGGATCATACAATAAAATAAAGGTACTTAAAAAATAATAATCAAATATTTACTTACCTATAGTACTCCTATTAATCTATAGTATTATTAATATTATACCTATAGTATTATTAATAATACCACGTTTTTACATTAAAATATTCAAACTTGCAACTAACAAAACAAACAACATGCGTCGCACTGACCCTGAGATTGTTGTCCACTGGCTGTGCTAGCGTAACCGGCTTTTTCCAGTCTCGCCGCGTATGCGACAAGCGGCCAGTGGTCGCACGCACACATGCCCCGCGTGCTTGTAGAGTAGTGCAACTGTGCAACCGATTCGCGCGGTTTCATGAAGCTTTATCTCTGTTCCGTTTATTTACTCATGTGCTAGTGGTTGAAAATTGTCATATTAAATACGATTTGAGTACGTCACATTTCCTTATACCCGTTCCTATAACCCAAATAAAATGGGGCTAAACATTTCTTGTTAATAATAATTGTTTTTTATTCTCAATTCTTTATACAAATTTTAATTGCAGCCGGTTTCGGAAGAACCATTCCGCTTCGCGATGGAGTTAGACAATTTGCCGAAGGAGACGCTCAAGAAGTTCATCTTTGAAGAAACTCTGCTGTTCAAGCAACAGAACGAGGGCGCGTAAACAAAAACAAAAATCATCTGTTGCCCGTGCGCGCGTTCATCTTACAGTTTGATGACAAAATAGCGCGCTGTCAAAAATTTCAGTTCGTAATTTTTTAGGTTTCATGTACATTTTCGTAATTTGCTACCAACTTTTGAACTTGTACTTTTAATTAAGTATTTTTCGAACTAAGAAATGAAAGTGTTTAGGTACAGTTTTTTTCAAAAGACAATTCGCTTAGATTAAAATTGTAATTCCATATAACAGAATGGTTTTCATTGTTTATCTGTCACTAATTGGTCTATATTAGTAAATGTCGCGAAGATATCTTATCTAATAGCAAGATATATTATAACAGAATTCTTTGAAGAATATCGAACTATTCAGTTCTCCAAATATGTATAAGGATAATTGGAAATCTTGCAAATTTGTAAACAGTAAAGGTGTTTTCAAACAAAATATCGTTTTTTGTAACTATGTCTTGACATTGCCGAGTATTAATGTGTTTGCATATACATAATTATTTAAAGTAAATTAGTCTTGTTTTGCAGTTAATCGAAAAAAAAAAATAGTTTCTAATTAAATTATTAGCAAAATTTTCATATTTCCAAAAAATTTAATCGAATAAGAGGTAATGGTTCTTTGGCATTAAGTCCGCCTTTTATTACCTTATACATAAGATGAATACAATAAAGTTTTAAAATAAAATAATTCAATAAATATTTCTTAGGTGGTTTATGCATGTTTTTTTTTATTAAAAATTACCAAAGGTTATGACGGTTACTTAGAGATTACTACCATTTTTCAGTGTTTTCCTTATAGCGGATTTTTTATTTAAATACTACAACATTCTCATACAGGTTACGTACACTTCAGTATGAGATATACTAAGTGTGCGCAGTTGAGACAGTTGGAATATATTGAAACTTAGGTAACTTAGATAGATAGTTTTCTGAAATTTATCAACGTTGAATATACCTAGTCTGTGGTTTCTTAATCGAAGTTAACGAGAGAGGTGCTTGCGGGAGATTTTGGCGGGAATGTTTCTTACAGTATTACGTGATAGCGAATTCTTGTTCGTGTCGGGTATTTAATAACATTTGAACGAAATGACCGAATGAGTCGAGTATTATGCAGAGTTAACATTAACCGGAACGCTCTGGTTTGGCCACGGGTGGCGCGCAAAGCTGGACTTTGATGTTGACTGCTTAGAATGATTAAGCTCAGAAACCAAATAAGCACATGAAAAGTGAGGCAACTAAAACTTTAGCATATTGGGCTAAGTTCGCTCAGAGACGTCAGTAGTCAAGATAACGCCGTGTGGATCACAGTCCGGAGGAATCTATTAAAAATAACAGTTTCTAGGGTAAAGATATGTTATAGCAAATCAGAAAAACAAACTATAATAAAAATATGATATGATATCCAATCCAATTCCTAACATAAGTGAAATAACATAACTAACATAAAATACTAGTCATGATATGATAGCGTTACATAAAAATGTGTTTTCCTATTTTGTTGGTTAAATTCTAGTGATAATAACACCGAAAGCTACATTTTATGTATGTGTGTGTGTGTGTGTGTGTGTGTGTGTGTGTTTATAGAGCGTAGATGCATTCAGCTCACGCACACTAAGAAAATAAAGTTGCCTCACGAAAACGCTCGTGTTTTGTTCTAGACGCGGTTTATGTGCGTAATTATTCTAAGGTTGGATGGTTGATGTAAATATTTTTACATTTTGAATTAATGTATTTTCAAGTGTCACCGAATATTAATATGAAGCACTTCTAATTTATTAATTCCAATGTGATCTACTTACGAATTGTATTTTCCAGTCTGAATAACGTTCAAGGGGCGAAAGGGATTGGGCTTCGTTAAAAAACTTGTCGGTTTTTCAGTAATTTTATTAATAATTCTCGTCTTCCTTGTATTTGCATATTTGCGCACAATATGTTAGAATAGTTGATTCTTCATATCAGATAGTAAATAGCGGTTCGTAGATTGTTAAAGTTTAGTTTGACAGTTGTGCGTGCGCCGGGGTCGGAACAAGTTTTTCAACGAACTGTCTGCGTTAAGTGACGGTGGCTTGTGATAATGTTGCGCGAGTCTATTCACAATTAATAATCTGTTGTTACTCTCTGTGTATATCTATAAAATGTTGTTAGGGAGGACCGTGCCCGCTCTCAGGTGAATAACTTACCTAATTATGGGCGTTCACGGTCTACTTCTTACTAAGACTTGATTAACGTTGTCTGTTGAAAATATTTAGGGAGCATTTTAGATGATAACGAGTCATTCGATTTTGAAATTGTAATTTCATCGTTGCGTATGTCAGGTGTTCGAGCTCGAAGAACATTGTCTTAGATGATGTCTTAGGCTCATTTTTGGAATATTACATTATATTATTATAAATGTATTTACTATCAGCTATCGTCGCTTTTTGAATTTTATAAGGCTGTCATCACACTCGAATCGGTGTTGGCAGTATAGGCTATTCGACCGCGCTATCCATGTTTGGTGGTCAATTTCCGTGTTATTGTCTGTGGTAAGATGGTTTTACTTTTATCAACATAAAAGGGCTGATATTCGAAAGTGTATTGTATGGATTAACTTTTTTAATAGAACGTGAGTGTGATGTCAGCCATTAAAAATATTTGCGTTTATGTGTCATCAACGTATTTGTGAATAAATAATATTTCATTCTTACATACAATGAGTGTGATAAGCTTTTGTCAGTCGAATTCATTTCTCTACGAAATTACATGGATATTTTTAATTAACCGTTGTGGTCGTTTTTTTCATCATAAAGTCAGGTGTAACTTAAAAAATTGCAAGACGTCGTCTATTATGCATTTGTCAGTAAAAAACAGGCAATTTTATTCAATAATAATGCATAATAGTAGTTGATAAATAGCCTCTCATTATTTCAATTTGTTGACGACTGTCTTATGCATTTTTAAAACTTATTCAAATCGTCTTTTAAACTTTTTTTTAAACAGGTGATGACTCTCTAATTGAGAAAATATGTATTTCGACTATATTTAAATGACACCAGAATATCATCACGTATTTATTGTTAAAATATGAGTGTTGCCATATTTTCTTAAGTAATTATGTACAAATTGGATATTGTAAGATCATTTGTTATCTGTCAACAGTTGAATATTACGAAAATAAAATCGAATCGAGAAATAATGTATTTTGTTTCATTTTCATTTCACCAATTGAAAATTCATTAAGTTATAAACAATTTTTGACACCGTATTTTAGTATGAAAACGATTAAGCCAAAGACAAGCCAAAAATTGCACACCTGGTAAGTATGCATTTTGTACCTATATGAAGTATCCAATAAATGATTAAAGCCATATTTTTCATTTTGTTAACTTTTTTTTTATACGATAAGGGTGACAAACGAGCACACAGTCCACCTGATGGTAAGTGGTTGCTGTGGCCCATAGACATCTACATCTATCCTCGATTACGAATCAAAATGCAAATGCGTTGTCACCCGTGAGGACTAAGATGGAATGCCTCTTTTCCAGTAAAAAGGGTCTCCGGTTCTCTACACTCACTATACGAAACACAGCAGCGTTAAGCTGCTATTTTACGCTGGTATTCTGTGAGAGCGTGGTCCTTCCCCGGTCGAGCCGACCCATTCGTGCTTCAACTATACTACTAATATAGCTGCAGCATGGCTCTACCACGTATAAACGTGGGGAGTATTTTTATTGATTTCGGGTTGCAGTGAAATAAAGCGATGACTTGAAATCGATCTGAGTGTGACCGCTGCTGTGCCGCATCTTCAGGAGCAGTTTATAGAGTCGCGTGTGGGTACGATATTATTCAACATTTTCGAATGAACACGTTTTCAGCTTGTGTACTTCCCCGGTCGGGCTAAAAAAATTATGGCTTCATGGCGCAGTAGCTTAGTAATGAGCTACAGCGCTAAGGTACGCGGGTTTGAATCCCGCATGGAACAAGTATTTGTATGGCTTACAAATAATTGTTACGTTTGTCCTTGTGAAATTAATGTATGTAAAGTGTAAACTGATCGATACAGTAAAAATCTAAGTGTGGTGGTAACGTTTTTCAAAAGAAAATGTTTTTCTGCAACGTCAATACAATTACTGCGTAGCTCTGCTACGTATAAATTGATGTAACCAAGCTATATATATATATATATATATATATATATATATATATATATATATATATATATATATGTTATGCTTGGATTTGTGATGGCCATATTATTTTTGATTACGTGGGTGGGTGATGATTAAAGAAAAGTAAATATAATAGTTATTATTCCGATTTCAAATAAAAGGAAAGGGTTCTCAATTCGACTGTATTTTTTATGTGTGTTACCTCAGAACTTTATATATACAAGGATCCTTCCTATATATCGTCATCATCATTACAGTAGTCATGTCCCTTCATAAGTCCACTGCTGAACATAGGTCTCCCCCAAGGAATGCCACAAAGCCACTGAGCCACATGCATCCATCGACTTCCTGCATGTCTTACCAGGTCGTCACTCCATCTAGTGGGGGGACGCCCTGCACTTCGCCTTCCGGTACGAGGCTGCCACTCAAGAACCTTTCTTCCCCATCGGTTGTCGGTTCTTCGAGCTATATGGTCGGTCCATTGCCACTTCAGCTTACTAATCCGTTGGGCTATGTCGGTTACTCTGGTTCTACTGCGGATATCCTTATTTCTAAGTTTATCACGCAGAGAAACCCCGAGCATAGACCTCTCCATAGCTCGCTGTGCGACCTTGAGCTTCCTTATACGGCCAGCAGGGAAGGACCACGTCTCAGATCCATAAGTCATCACTGGCAACACGCAATGGTTGTACAATCTCGTTTTCAGGTTTTGAGGTATACCTGACGAGAAGATGTGTCGTAGTTTCCCGAAAGCTGCCCAGCCGAGTTGAATCCGTCGATTGGCCTCTCAGTCGAAGTTGGACTTACCTAGTCGGACTATTTGTCCCAGGTAAACATACTCGTCAACAAC